TTGATTCATGTTTATTAATCGGACACCTGGGATGCCTCTAATACATATCCCTAATTATAGCTTTAACATTTTAGAAAGATCCATCAAGGATTGAGTGAATTACAAGCAAAATAACATATATGTGAAAAGTGACAATTGACATCTGTTCACACAAAGTCACATTTATATATCATACAGGTCGAAGATTTCATTAAAAATGTGTAGGATACATGACAGACTACCTAAGGAACCTATACTACATACTGCCCTGAGGGCAGAGTGTTGATGGGGGGGATGTGGTGTAGAAGTGTTTGATTTGGTGGCCCATAGCAAAGTATACACCAACTGATCATTTTCGATGTTTTGAACTTCGGGACATTTAAAGTTTCCCACACTTGATTTCTTATCTATTTCACTTCCCCAGCTCTCTATTCTGGGTGGATCTTTCTGTATTTTTGAGTCCATGATACGGAATATATGTGAAATGTACTCCAGGTGTCTGATTATTAAATTTCGATGAATCAAAAGGTATGGGCCCCTTATCAGTAGAAATAGCAAGTATATACACTAACTCAAAGCCCCGGCCTATTTTGAGCTGATCCTTGAGATAAAATGCATTTATATATGTGCTACTGATGATATATGAGCAGGGGTGATCATGTATGCAAGGGTAAGATACTGAAAAACATCAAAAATGTCGAAAATGTGATTTTACATATTTTGTTCCTGTTGAACGACCCTATAGGTTTCCTATGGTAGCTAGGTGATATATATACTCTGAATATGCATAGGAATAGACTCCCCACCACTCTGAAGGTCCGACCCTACAGGAAATTTTTCACAGGGGGTGAACCACCAGGAGAGGGAGGGTGCACTATGGAACAGGGGATTCTCCTATGGTCCTGGGCTCCTGATACATTGTTCCTGCTGTTTAATAGATGCTGGGGATAATTTTTCCAAGTATATCTATCTAGAAATACATACATGGGAACATATTTTGTATTTTCCTGTATATAAGCTATATCTATTGATGTAGGGCGCTTCAGGGGGTCAAAAAAGTGGGGGAATCTCTTCATATACACTCCCAAATATGTCCTGAATACAATAGAACACTTCCCTATCAAAGGGGCAAAAGTGTGTAAGTGTTCTTTACCCTAGGCTATTTTGAAAGGGCCCTGGAGGAGGAGCAGGCACAGAAATAAACAAAAAAAGCGGACTATTATATTATAATATACATATATATACCAAACTACTACTTATATATGAAGGGAGACCTATTGTGGTGTGGTGGTGAAGCTGCACTGAGGTGGGGAGGGTGTGGGAATAATTGATATTGTGGAGATTCCCAAAATGGGCGATGTTTTTGGTGTTGTGGGGTAATTCCCACACTGTGTGGCTGAAAAATGCGAACATGTGATGTGTGGGAATAATGTGGGGAGCCTGACATAAGGACTCATGTTGGTTCTTTTGATGGAATGATCAGATCTAGATTGCAAAGAAGCAGGGAGAGGGGCAGGATAAATTCAAAGCAGACACAAGAGGGTGATGCAGCCCAGAAAGGGTAGGAACACACTAAATAGTATTGGCTGTTCCATTATCCATCATGGACAGCCCCCAGAATGAGTAGAATCATGCCAAATTGAGTGTCTGGCAAATTATCCATCGTGGGAGCTGTAATGGATAATCTATCAAAGCATCAGTAGTCCGTGACAAGGAAGTATAACGAGTTGTCTCTAATTAGAGTTGGTTATCTATAATAATGACAGTATAGCCTGGTCTGAGACGGGTATATGTTACTGTATTATGTGCACGAACCACGTAGAGCCAGATTGATACACCAGACGCATTACCGTAACGAGCTATGGCTTCTGAATCTTCCGTAACGCCCACCCTCGAGGAACCTTCAATGCCTGTGCAAGCCAAAGGACCAAGTCCGAAACACAGGTTTGAAGGACATCCCGACGATGATTATGAATTCGTCTTCTTGCACGACAATGTCCACATCCTTATTTATTCACACCACGGCACAATGCGGAAGTGGAACTACGAGACAGGACTTCTTGTCGGGGAACCGTGGAAAGGCGAGGGCGGGGGCATACGTGCACTGGTGCTGTCACCAGACGGCAAGACAATTGCGTGCTTGAGGGGCACAAGCATTGAGCAGTGGAACCTCGAGGGAGAGATGATCAAAGGTGATTGGATGAGCTGTAGTGGCGGTGTGGCATCGCTGTCGTGGTCGCCCAGCGGGGACCATCTTGCAACCGGGTCCCGCGATGGAACGATCCTAATTCGAAACTCAGACAGCGAAAAAGTCGAGGTGGGCCCGATAGAGACGAAGCAGAATAGTGTGCATACTCTTGCATATTCGCCTTCGGGCGACAGAATTGCATCAGTCGGATATGGCGAACATATCTGCATCTGGAATAGCAAGACGGGCAAGCTTGTTGTCACCCTCGAATGCGCTTCAGTTGACTCGATGGTGTGGTCGTCGGACAGCAGCAAACTTTATACCGTCTTGCCGGAAGTTACAGTTTCTTCCGACAGCACCTCGGGCACGTTACTCCAATTTTTTTTACCAATATGACTCTTGGTATTCGCCAGTGGTGTATTCCATCGCACTTTCACCCACACACAATGTCCTGGCGTGTGTGGGCTGGGATCTCGCACAGCTATGGAACACTGAGTCTAATAAGCCACTCGACCAACCATTCAATGAGGACAATGGACGCCTTTTCAATGTCTCGTTCTCTCAAGATGGGAGATACCTGGGGTATAGCAGTGGCGACGGAAAAGTCACTCTGTGGCTGGTCAAAGACATAGCTCCTGAGCTTGCCACAGCTACACAGCAGGAAATTCAACCCGAGCCCTCATCTTGTCTTGCCTTGTCAGTACTCTCACGTCTGATTGCGTGTCCTTCGACTTTGCTCACATCATTATCACAGGATCGCAGGTTGATTTTCCGAAGCTATCGGGGGGTGATGGATGGGACTAACTTGAACATGACAACTTTCCATACCTCACTTTCCTAGACGGGTGGTGTATGATACGTAGCCGCACGTCCGTCCGTTGATCACCAGACATACCCACATACTATGTACGTTCGCAGGCTGCGGGTGGATCAATAAGTATCGATTATGCCTCAAGTTCATGAGAGCATCGACTCGAGTCAGAGCTTAGAGCACAGGTAATCGGACATGACGCAGGCTTTGAAGAAAACTAAGAATAGGCGCGAGAAGTTGAAGATCATTGAGTATTTGCGCTTAAACGTGATTCGCCACGCTAGCTTAATCTGTATCAGGTCGATGATCATGAAAAAATGGGGCATCATGGTTCACGACCATCAAACCAGCCGAGATGGGAGAGAAGGCTTGGAAAAGGCTGTACGCTATGCCATCAGGACCTGGTCCCTAGAAATGTATCCATAGGCACTGCCACATAACTGCGAGATATACAACTCTCCCAGCTTGCCCTCAGGTGAGAGACTAGTCGATAATCTGGTAAGGATTGGTGAATCGCTGTCCTAATAATTGATCACGAACCACGTAGTAAGAGCCATCATACAGCTCTCCCAGCTTATCACCACGTGCAATACTAGTAGATAATCTGGTAAGGATTGGTTAATCGCTGTCCATATAATTAATCACGAACCGCGTAGTGAAAACCAGATTGGTTTACCAGACACCTTACAGTAATGAGCTATGGTTGCTGAATCTTTTACAAAGTCGATTGTCGAGGAAGGTTCACCGCCAGCGCAAGCCAGAGTGCCAACACCAAAGCACAGGTTTGAGGATCATGAGTACTCTGTAAGCAGTTTCGTGTTCTTGCACGACAACGTCCATATTGTGACTGGTTCACTGGACGGCACGATGCGGAAGCGGAACTACGAGACGGGACTTGTTGTCGGAGAACCATGGAAAGGAGATGGTGGAAGCATATATTCACTGGCGCTTTCTCCAGACGGGGATACGATTGCTTGCGGGAGGGCAGATGGGAGTCTTCAGCGTTGGACCACCGATGGCAAGATGACGAGAAGTGCTTGGAGGGGTCATAGCAGCGGGGTGCGGTCGCTCTCGTGGTCTCCCAGTGGAAGTTGTATTGCCAGTGGATCTTATGATGGAACAATCCTCATTCGAAACGGAAAAAGCGGAGAAGTCGAGGTTGGTCCAATCAAGACGCAGCAAGAGTGGGTGCTTGATCTTGCATACTCACCTTCGGGCGACAGAATTGCGTCAGGCGGATATAACGAAGCGATTTGTATCTGGGATAGCAAGACCGGCGAGCTCGTTGGGCCCATCAGTGACCCGACCAAGTGGTCGTTTGTGACGTCGTTGGTGTGGTCGTCGGACAGCAGCAAACTCTATTCTGTCTCCGACAACTTTGCACGTGTATTGGACGGCACCTCGGGAAAACTACTACATCGGTTTGAGCACGACAATCTCTTGTATTCCATCGCACTTTCGCCTGGAAACAATGTGCTGGCGTGCGTGGACTACGGAGGAATCGTACGGTTATGGGACACAGAGTCCCATCAGCCATTCGGCGAGCCTTTTGGCCAAGACCATGAAACCCTTCGCTGTGTGTCATTCTCTCGTGACGGGAGATACCTAGCATATGGAGGATATGACAGGAAACTCACGCTATGGATGGTCGAAGACATAGACCCTCAGCTTGCAGTTCAAAAACAAGGGACACATCAGGATACTCAACCCGGGTCCCCAGCGTCATCTTGCCTTGATGTCAGTACTCTCAGGTTTGACTGCCTGCTTCACATTTCTCACAGGACTATCATAGGCTGACGCTACAAACCAATTGGGGAGTGATGGAATCACCGAGGACGTGTACGATGACCCATATGACAACTTTTTCCAGGTAGAATTCATGTTTATCATGTAGTTCACTATCACTGACGATAAATAGTCTATGCAGCCAACTCTTCCATCCACATCGTCTGGCACCCATCTCCCCCACCAGTCCCCAGCTCGCCGTTTGTGGAGCATTATATCTCAACACCGCCCGCTAGGCCACAAGGTCCGGACAGGAGAAGAAGACAAGAAAGGTGAAAAGGATGTTGATGTAGGTCTTTTCTCTGTTCTCGCACACTGTGAACTCAACATGATTGGCCGTCAGTGTTCCGTGAATGCTCAGCCTGGCGCCAGCAAACGAGAAGAATATTCTGCCGATGCGCAGACTCCACCACCCGATGATTCTGTTCCCCCTGCCGGGAACCACACCGAAGAGAACAGAAACCCCTGGAAATGGCCAATACGTGCTCGAAACAATTCCGCTTTCCCCAAGATGGATCCAGCGACAACCGAGGTTGTTGAGGTATATGCCGCGCGCGGGTTCCAAGTAAGTTTCTCCCTCATCTTGTTGACGCATTCTTACCATGTATGAACACAATAGAGATATGTCGCATTCACACGCAAAAAGAAGACAAAGTCACTTGCTGCAATGAGCGGCGCTCCTCTCGCTGCGCCACATGTAACTGGCTTATCACAGGTGGCTCCGCAAGGCAGTTCTGCACAGCCCGATATGTCGTTGCAGCCAATGTCCGAACAGCCAGGGCCATTATCGTACATTATGGTCCGAGATGAGGCTCAATACTTGCCAGCCACTGGAGGTCTGTCACCTCAGGAATCCCCATCCCACTTTGTCACCGCCTACCACACCATCCACAACTCAGATTCACGCTCGAGCATCGAAGGCTCGTGCAACAGGTTCCTGGACAAGATATGTTTTCCCTGTGGACATTACCATGAGGATTAGCTGAGTTTCATGCGTGCTTAGTTTGTATCTTTCTTTCGTTTTCTCTGGGGAACATTGTTTTTATTTCCTCCGCTGGGCGGCGGTGCTGGCAATTGTTTTCCTTATTTACATTCTCCTTCGATGTTTCACTCTGTACTTGTTATACTCAGGTTACATATCTATCTAGCATCGGATGCCTTCTACTGCGGTAATGAATCACAGTTAGCTGAATTGCGAACAGCCAGATGTCTGTCTAGGTACTCGTACGAGGTACCAGTGCTAAAAACGGCGACTCGTGACCTGGAGAAGGCGGGGTGAATAAAGGTCTGATTTCAATGCCTATGTATTACATAGTATCCTAACTAATGGTATGTGTGGTCAAGGACAGTGTGGTGATGACCTAACCATCAAGTCGCCCATAATCCTTCTCAAGGGGCTGATGGCTGAGCAGCAGTCTGCATTTCTAAAGTGCGCGAAGTTGAGGGTGACATAGTGTGACTTCTCCTTGATATCACGGATTCGCACCGGGCAGTCGTCGTGAATGACTACTCAGAAAGTGTGATGCAATCTTCTCCATGTCGTGTTGATACCTGATACCGTGTCAATAGAATACTTGATTGTCAAGATACCATGTTTAGACGGTAGGTGTTAGTCGACAGTGACAACGATCAGGGAAAACCATACAGAACCTTTCTGTCCAATACTATCCTGGTGACGTGGACAGCCGACAATAGAGCTGTGCGATGGCTTTACGAATCCCTCATCAACAGTTGAAAAATAGTACAGAACTTACCAGAAGACAGTACAGGCAGCATCATGACCTAAAAAAAAGTGGTTGGTTAGTCCATTATGCTCATATAAATACCACGGTGTTAGATTACCAGCAACTGTGACGAGGGTTAAGGATAACTTATATTCAGCATGTCAGGAGCCATGGAAAACGACCCGCACCCACTTGCTCGACTGTCAAAGTGTACCATGATGACAGTGCACTGAATTTCCCGCACCTCGTCGATTCTGTCCTTGTTTGATGCTGACAGCTCTATGCATAATTTTTGTAGGTCCACTGGTCATCTTGTGTAGTGTTACCAAGGGCAACCAGTGAATCTACATGCATCTGGAGAACAGACGGACGCAACGGATGCTGACGAGATGCGAGGGAGGAAGGTGAAACTTATGATAGCCTCTAGTAAATTTGCGATTGTTTAGATCCAATGGATTTGCCAAACAACGCAGCACAGCCTCCTCTATCAGCGACCTCGGTCCTAACTCCTTCATCACGTTGACGAAGTTCAAAGCTTGTGTTATCTCTCTGTGATGTTCGCTGTGAGTCCTCCGTGATGGATGTACTATAAGCTTGAACTTGGCAGTCGCTTGTAAACCGAAGTGAATTTTCACGAGCCATCATCCAGTGTCATGTAAGTACAGAATTTCCTCTCTTTTTCATACGCAATGAGTTCAGAGGACCACACTAGTCACGAACATCATGAACACTTAAGCCGCTGACTCAATTGTAAGGATGGAGGCTGGTGCACCGCTTGGGTTCGGGTTCGATGTAGCCACTTAGACAAAGAAATAGATGGCATCGTATGTTTTCAATCTGCATTAAGTTACTGATGAAGTTCCTTTCTCGTTTATTCCAATCTGCACACTGTGCACGCGGTCAGCGAAACCTGCGATAGAACCCTCGTTACGTCATTGCCGATATTGCGGACGGTAAGCACTGGACAGCAGGCTTCTTCATAGGTTCATACCGGCAACTTCAACCTCCCATCAAAATCCTGCCATCTCTCCGTTGGTCGCTTCTCCCATCTGATGTTCGTGTATCTTGACTTTGACCGAATTCAAGATAATCGAGAAAAATCACCGAAAAAATCGAAGAAATTAGAAGTAACGGCGACTGAGGTTAGGAAATCTAGTCATGCTGGAATCTTCTGAAATTACCTTGATTTTGTGAAGGAGGTTTTCCCTGATGTTTCGCACTTCTCGTAACAAGATGGTGATTTAGTACTGGCATAAACCCGGCTGAACATTATTCTACCTATTGGGTGTCTCATCTTCCTTTCTTCACTGCACGTTCGAACAGTCCGTCCGTCACAGCTACTTTCGTCGGACAATACGTATACCCACCTACATACTCGCCGCTGTCCTGATTATCGCTAGCATGTTAACCGAGAACAATGAGCTGCATGATATCCAGAAAGCACTTACGCTGTTATACTGACAGACCAATCGTGTGCCATCGTTCTCCCAACCATCGTAACTGCCGGCCTATCAGTTACTTTGTTTGATGAAGATAGATGTAGTTGCCACGTACGTGCAAAATGTCACGTTGTCGAAGTTTGGGGCGAGGGCTAGCGGCACCCAACCCCCTCTCATATATAGCATGACCTGGACCTGGGCACACTGCACATGAATCCGCATTGGCACCGGCGAGGAAGCTGAGCAGCGCAAAGATTATGGAGCGGGACGTAAACATGATGGTGCTTGTTAAAGGGAATGAGGCAAAGCCATAATAGTAGTAGCAGGCAGGTGTTTTATACGCTGGAACTTCCAGGTAAGGCATTCGCTCGCTTTGCTGGCAGCTGCTTAGATGCCATACTTCAGCCGAAATACGACCGCGGGGTGACCCGTACCATACCGTCTTGTTGCGCTTGGATTCCAGCCCGGGGGTCAATACTATAAACTAGTGATGTTCCGGCCCAAACGGCACACCATTTCATCAGCGAGCCCCTCATCCCGATCCTCCTAAGTCTTCTTTCTCAAGTCCGTGTCGTTGGCCTCGTTCAAGTTGTCAGCAGCCTCGAAATTCCAGTCCATCCGCGTTGTAATAGCAAGCCGCCGGCTTCGTGACCTGGGCCTCGGCTCGGCTCGGAGGCCTGGCTTGGGCTGGCCCGGGGCTTGAAGCTGGGCCGGAACATCACTAGTGCGAGATGTCCGAAGCCACGCTACCATGCCTGTTTATTTGGCATCTTTCCTTCATTTTGAAGCTTCGGTTTCTTTTTCTTCTGCTGGATATCACATTATATACACTCCTGTGTATCCAGCGTCGTAACTACATTCTGTCCCGGTGTTACTAATACCCAAGTTCACCTATCATCAGCTTGAGAAGTACGAAGTGGTTGTTTGGATCTAAAGGATTTGTCAAACAATGCTGCACAGCCTCGCATTCATATGACTATTGCCTCGCTCCTTTCATGTTTCCCTCACAAAGTTGTGTCCGCAGTTCACGACCATGCTTTGATAACGCCTCGTTCCTGGGTAAATATTTGACTTCATTGCTTCCCTGGGTGTACATCAGTCCGTTACATACACGTCCCCTAGACCTGATCCGTCTCAATCACCGATGATGAACTTCCACCGCTCGATCAACGACATTAGACTCTGGACAGGACAGGCATTGGGGCACTGAGATGCGGGAGTTGGAGTCAAATTGGAGTCGCGGGTAAATGTGGGGCGGGCTCCAGGAGTCCAAGGCCTTCTTCTGAATCTCCATCCTGTTCTGCACGCAGGATGATCTTGGTACTGCAAGAGTATATTCTGGGTCAGGTAAAGATGTTGGGGCTGGGGCTGGAAGTGCATTGGTTGTCGCAGGAGCTGGAACGCTGCGATCCCAGCAGAAATATCACATTATCGCTCGCGCCGGGCTGTGCACATGAGCACGTGCGAGATGATATGGATGGGTAGAATGAAGAAGATAAGATAAAAACCAATTGGGAGACATTGCAGAAGGGCCGGGTATGAGCAGAGCTTGACTTCATACGTAGCGACAAAGCCCTCGTGATCAGACGAGTGCAGGTGATAGTGATAGTAATGTATTGATAAAAACAGTTCCTGGACCAATTTGCACTAAGGAAAGTCAAACTTCACTCACTGCCCTCCCCCAACCGAATACTGCTCGCCACGCTTCTCGACGTCTATGTTGGGAACAAAGTGAATAGAACACGCCAAAACGAGGCTAGCATTGAAGAATTACCATCGACATCAGAGGAGCCCTCGGCAACAAGATCTAGACGCATATCTAGTTAGACAGGGTGCAGAGAGCACGAGAAAGCTGGAACATACATGCGAACGGCTTCATGGCACGCTTCTCGACTCCTATGTTGCAAACCAGGTGAATAGAACATTCGACAATACAGCCAGCGCTAGAGAATTACCTTCGGCATCAGGGGAGCCCTCAGCGACGAGATCTATGCCACGAGTATTTCATTAGACAGGGCACAGGTATTACAGATACATTGATACATACATGCGAACGGCTTCATGGCACGCTTCTCGACGTCTATGTTGTGGAACAAAGTGAATAGAACGCGCGAAAACGAGGCTAGCACTGAAGAACTACCTTCGACATCAGGGGAGCCCTCGGCAACGAGATCTAGTATCTGGTTAGACAGGGTAGTGATGCTACAAGCGCGTCGGGACATACATGCAAACGGCTTCATGGCACGCTTGTCAACAACGGGTGCTACCGCCGTCACCTGTACCAAAGCGATGGCAGCAAAAATAAAAGACAAAACAAGCTTCATGGTGGCTAGATGTAAGAGTGGACGATGAATTGTCACTTGGGGTGTTGAGTGTAAAATCGATGCAGGGAGTGGGGCCTTTATACCTTTGGAGAGCTCGATTATCAGACCCATTTCACAGACTCACTCGCAGAGACCTTCGTATCGTATCGTATCGTATCGTATCGTGTCGTTTTGCGCATCACGTAGATAGGCAAAGTATTCTTTCGTTCGCGACCTGCGTTTTCGATGCGCTACGACGAGACGAAGAAGTATGCCGTTCGGGCATAAACAGAAGGAGTTGCGTAGCGGGGTTTGTGATGAGAATACCCAGAAGGTATTCTTTCTTATCATCAGGCAAAGTATTCTTCCGTTCACAACCTACTTGTGCGACGTGTCATAACGAGGTGTGGAAGTCTGCCATTAGGCTTAGATAGATGGAAGGAAGTGTGTGGTAGGGGTCATAGTGAGAGTCGAGCTGTGACTCGGAGGCTCCATTTAACAGCTATCTCGTTCGATCAAAAAGAACCAGACAAGGACATATCATTGCGGAGATTTTAGTATGCACGGGCCATACTTGGCCTCACTGGATATGTTCTCGATATATGAAATCAACCGTCATATAGACAGAAAATATCTTGAGCCCTGAATAAAGATAAATACTTACGAGTTGTCAACTCGGAGTGCTCCGCTCATGCATAGGCTTTGCGCCCTAGGGTATTCGAGCCAAGCAACATCTAGCAAATTGCCAGTAGGTGGGTATTTTGCCGCTGACAGGCAAAAAGATATTCAATGACTACTTTTCAGGTATACCACGCACCTTCATGGCTTTATATTCGCCTCTCCGAACACACGATCTCGAGCATCAACTTGAAGACTCTGAAGACGCCTTTCTCCTCCCCAGCAAAGACTTCACCTTTGACCACCGCACCGCAGATCCCCCATTTGAATGGCCCGCTTGAACTGCATTGGGACTCTCCGGCTTCGCAGTTATTTGCGCATGCTCGGTGTATTCACCTCTGCCAGTGTCTCCGGGCTGCGTGATGCCCATGAGTTGCGCCAGCCTAACCAGTTTCCAGGTCTCGAATTCAGCGACGATCCCCGGGAAAAGCAAAAGGGTACGTACATTCAGTCATCATGGACACTGTGTGGCCAGCACCAGGGATGTACTTCCCAAGCGCCATCGTACGGGCGAACAAAGCCTCACCTGACCAAATGTATACTTCAGGCTCACACGTGAAGCAACTTGGCCATTTATGTGTTCCAGGACTCGATGTTCTACCAGTGGCAATTTGGCCCTTCCAAATTCACCTCTTGTTACATTGACAGCGTCGTCCCCACTCTCGAAGATGGTCTTGTGGCAAACAAGACCTATACCTCGTCTGGCACCCTCACTGAAATCCAGATTTGGAATGTTACCACTCCTGTTGAGGGCACGACGAGCCTCAGCTGGAACACACGACCCCAACGAATTGCACTGATGGGCACCATCACATTCCTTCCTGAGAAAGAGAAGATCGAACAACTACATTTTGAAGATGGCTCGGCAGTCGCAGCTGCCAACGCGGTTGTCGTGTGGTAAGAAAGCGCCGGTTAGCATCGAGGTTGCCTGCGATGGTTGGTTGTAAACTTGAATTTGAGTAAATATTCTCAACTCCTCCGTTGGGTGAGTACGGCTGTACATAGTATTACAGGTCGAGGTGGCAGACTTATCCATGTTATAGCTTTCGACCTGATGGAGATAGGATAGATTAAGTATTCAGTAGAAAAGACACGAATTGCAATGATGAACATTGAACGTACATTTGCGCCAATTGCAAGTTTCTGTATGACTAATCAACTTCACGGTCTCTGAAGTGAACCCACCAAGGCGCCCCAAAGTGAAGCTAGCAGCACCGAACGACGACCACTTCTCGAATCTGTCGCATCCCTCTCTCTGCACGCCGACCCTCTCTGCACGTGCCAAAAAGCACCGTGCACCCTAGCAACTATCCACCTGCAGCATCCATCCGCCACTACATGCTGTGTCCACGTTGGTACTCTAGTTGCCCACAGCACCCAACTACATCTGTCAATATGCACCCTTCCGTGGACCGGTGCCCAACTACTCCGTCCTTTGCCCTCGTATGCTGCCCTCGTATCATCACGTACCAGCAATGTGTAGCAATATTTATGAATTTTATCTGTTTTCAACAATACCTAAATAAGGAATCAGGAACAACGTTGATGCCCCGGTTGAAGACTTCTACACAAGAAGAACATTCCAATCAAGACATACATCTTGATAATCCTAGGCAGTACGCGGAAGAGGAAGTGATACATCACGCCTCTGGACCAAAGGCGCGGGTATATTACAGGTGAGTTCTAACCGATAGTACCACCTCAGTCTGTCCCGACAACCCAGAGTTCTGTTTCAACTCCCCTTGTTTACGGTATATGCGCAATGCGCATGCTAGCCGGTGATTCGGACAACGAGCAGCAGCAGAAGACGTTCCTTTGGCAGGAGATCGCCTAGAAGGCTGGTCAGTGGTCATCTTCCGATAAGAATATTCTATTCGAGCTCACCTTCTCCTATTGGGTTCAAGAGGTACGCGGATAGCGTAGGGCATAACAACTTTGGCTCCGTATTTTTTCCGGGCGGCAGAACTGTGAGTAGATCTTTCGACATTTCTAACGATTAATGACGAGGTATTAATAATGCTCATCCCACCCAATATCCTCGATAATATTAATATCAACCTCATATACGGCAAGTTGGAGTTTGACAACGATGTTGACTTACGAGAATCCAGAGAAATAGCTTCTGGAATTTACAGCATAACTGCCGACTGCCATACAATTCGTGGCTTTCTGAGGTACAGGAACTAAATTCTACAGTGTCCCTCTGTCATGCCATATTGTATAATGCGAGAACTACAGGAGGATGATACCGTCATACTCAACCGCTGAACCATACAGGCTACTCCTTAGCAGATTATCCTACCCATTCACACGAAGGGTGAGCATTTCCGTCCCTTGAGCAGTAAATCATCCCCTCTGAGTTCTATCATCTGCCAGGGACAACCACTGGCAGTTATGGCGCAACCGGTTGGCAGATCGGCACAATCGAAGGTCCGGCAGTTCAGTTCAACCAAGCATAAGTCATACAGACGATTTCCGTCTTTGGCTCGCTGCAGGTAGGATAGATGGCAAGCGATATCCTGACCTTGACGAAAGATTCATCCCCCAGGCCCCCCAAATTCGATCCGGTCGGAAATCACCCCTACAGCTTGCTTCCCGCCTATCCTTATCAGAAGAAAAGACATTATTGTTTTCCTAGAAGACTGCAGGAAATGAAGCCGGCGGCGACAAGTGACACGCACCATAAAGCAAGCGGTTTCACGTGGAGTGGCACATTATTTGTCGCCCTTGACAGCAACGGCTCAAGCTATGGCTTGTAATATTAGCGGTGTCTGGTAAATTGCGACTTGTCACACCTATCTTCTGCAGCATACGCATAAGTGACTCGAACCTTCCTCAGAACACATTCAGCGACAGACTCAATACTTCACAGCCTCAAACGTCGATCCTCGGAAATACTGTGCGTATTCGGGCCTAGTGTTTTCGCATCTTTTTGAGCATCCTCACCGTACCGGGCGTGCACAAATGATTTTTGGGCTGATCCGCACCAGATGCCTCTTCATGCATGGAAGGCATTGGGGTGACAAGGCGGAGGAGGTGGGTGTATTCTGATCCAACATCGGTTGACAGTGTGAGTAATTTGTGGGGTCGGTAGTGCGCTTATTTGTTTTTAGGAGATGGCATTGGCATGCTTCATTGTAGCATGACTCGCAATGACAAGATCATAATGCTACACAACTCGATCGGAACCGGGTGGATGATTCACTATGATTCATCACGCAATGAAGAGGATCATCCTCAGTAGACATCGTAGTTTACGATTGTCGGACCAGCCGAATGCCGTGCTTATCACCACGTGAACCTGTCGATCAAGGATCAGTACTCAGCAACGCCTCATGGGATTAAGTCATACATCCCACATCTAAAACCTCCCCAAATAGCCAGCTTTCCACTAGGCGTCGAGAGGCCAGCAGACATTGAACCTGGTAAGAACGGGTGAACTGTTGCCCCTAGCCTTGACTAATCATCAACCACATAGAGCAAGATTGACACACCAGACACCGCCTGACCGTAACGAACTATGGCCTCGGGATCTTCTATAAAGCCGACCCTTAAGGAAGGTTCACCGCCAGCGCAATCCAAAACACGAAATCAAATCCGAAGCACATATTTGAGGGAAATCAGGAGACTGTTGGGTATTTCGTCTTCTTGCACGACAACGTCCACATCGTGTGTGGTTCGCGGGATGGCGTGATGCGGAAGTGGAGCTACGACACGGGACTTCTTGTCGGAGAATCGTGGAAAGGCGAGGGCGGCATGATAGATCGCCTGGTGCTTTCACCGGCCGGGAAGACAATGGCGTGCGCGAGGATGGACGGAAGCGTTCAGCTGTGGAACACCGAGGGAAAGATGATCAAGCACGTCTGGATGGGAGATTCGGTCGCTGTTGTGGTCGCCCTATGGAGGTCATATAGCCAGCGGGTTCGGCGATGGAACAATCTTAATTCGAGAAGCAGAAAGCGGAAAAATCCAAGCGAGCCCGATCGAGACGAAGCAGGGCGCATTGTATACTCTTGCATATTCACCTTCTGGCGACAGAATTGCATCGGGCAACAAGACAATTTGCATTTGGGACACGAAGACCGGTAAGCTTCTTCTTGGCCCCATCACAGACCTGGGGTACACTCGGGAGTTCTGTATTTCGTCAGTGGTGTGGTCCCCAGACATTAGCAAAATCCATGCCACCTCCGACGAAGCTGCACGTATTTTCGACAGCGCCTCAAGCGAGCTCCTCCATCATTTGGATCATCTAGTTGACAACTATGAATACACACTGGATGCCGTGGCACTTTCACCTACACGCAATGTCGCGGCGTGCGTGGGCGCTGTTGTACAGCTATGAGACACAGAGTCTCGTGAGTCACTGCTCGACCAGCTGCCGTTCATTGAAGATCTCGGATACCTTTTCTGTGTGTCGTTCTCCCCAGGCGAGAGATACCTGGACGTATAGCGGAGACCTTGGGGAAATCACTCTATGGGTGGTCGAAGAGCTCGCAGCAGCACCCATAGCACTTCAATAAGGTAACAGACGAGCTACACAGCCTGAGCAGGAAACTCAAACCGAGTCCCCATCATCTTCTTGCCTCGACGTCAGTACTCTCGGTCAGATTTCCTGTCTCGAGCCGTCAGTGTTGAATACTGCCCGGTGCTAGCAAACTAGTATATTTTGTGAAGGCGAGCAACGAGAAGGTGAGCTTTAGTTGCACCTTGTACACATTTTGTTCTCATCAGACATAGGAATCACGGAAATTTATCGCAATGACGCAGGTAAAAAGTCATTGGCAGAGACGAGGAGTTATTCTATAGTACTTAATGGAAAGACTCACTAGCAGGCTGACTGACTTTACGGTTGTTGCATGGGATGTAGAGACTGGCGCCGTCCTCACACAAAATTCGACTCATAGCGTTGAATCCTGGTACACATAATTACTGCGTGTGGGTGAACGCAGATTTGCAGAGTCCAGACTGACACAGTACTGTTGAGCGTTGCTTTAGCAGCAGAACGTCTAAAATTAGCCTCCAGTTACGGCGCTCACCGGTGCACCTTCGGAAATTGCAACCTCGTCAATGCTAATTCCAGACATGCTCGATGAATCCACATACCTGCTTGCAGGTACGACAAGCTTACATTTGATTCCTGGTGTAGGTTTCCAGGGTCTGACATTCATGGGCCGTGAGGGCATCGATACCAAGTTCACAACATCCTCACCGAAACTCGGTTACTTATTCGGAATCGCAATGTCAACGTTGTAGAAATTCCTCCAAACTGTAAGTTGTCAAGACTGTCGTCCCTTAACCGTTACGCCAAAAGGCAGTGATAATGAAAGCTCATGCTTCATTATCTCGGACAGTATTTATGCTGATTATGGGAACTCAGGTAAGCCACCGGGCTTACACAAACATGTTCAATTTCCAATCATTGATGAAGCCCCATGCGCTGGATCGTCAACGATGGACTCCAAGACTGACATTGGGGCGCTGAGATGCAGGCAACGTGAGGTAGGCCGTCCTCGTTCGGCACGGAGCATTATCTTGATACTGCAGGAGCATGTTCTAGGTCAGTATAGATCTTGGTTCTGGGGTGGGAAATTCATTGGCTGGAACGTGAAGCACAACACATTTGCAGCTTGCGGATCGCGTGCCGTGGAGATGGATAGAGCGGAGTGGGTGTGTACATAGCGAAATGAGGTGTGTGTTTTCATTATTAGACTTATATTTCTATGAAAATCCCCTTCTATCTCTCGCGCCCTCGTTTCATCCACGTGGCACATGATTTAAACTCGTCACCAATTCCCTTCGCCCCCAGCAGCAACCTTACGTCTCGCTCGTGCTGGGCTGGGCGTTCGTAAAGACAGGGTGGAGACCGGACCCACTGAGCAGCTGCGTTTGTGTGGCATGCCAGTTCTGTAAGTGGTGATACTGTCTATGTGGCGCACGAAGTAAGTTCCAACGTTGCTATCTTAACGTTTGTTCTTTATAATTGATGGCCAGACGGCTGAACATACACGAATGCTGTTTGGGCTGGTCCGCGCCGGGTGCCTCTTGAGGCGTGGAAGGCATCGGGTATGACACGGCGGGCATGAACAGCAACGTAGGCACAGAAGCAAACCAAGAATAGGCACGAGAAACTATTCTGACCATTGAAGGTTACCGCGTCTACCTTGAGTATATGCGTCATTAGTCTC